TGCTTTTATCCAAAGCGACTTTCAACTTAAATCTTTATAACTTCTATCTTACCAGGAACGTCAAAGCTTACCGCGAGACTGCATCAGACTTCCATTTACTCACAGTTAAATTAACAATTCTTCCTCCCACTATCTTCTGTGTCTGAAGGAGGAAGTTTGCAGGATGCTCTGATCTTCGGCTGCAAGGTTGCTGGCGCAAAATGTGGTTTCCATGGATACGATGGTATCAACAAAGATTTGGGAGATATGTGACCAATGAATTTTAAAATCGACAAGGGTAGCAGTCACTTATTTCCAGTGAGTCAGAGTGACGACATTGAAATGGAAAATTTTTAAAAATGTGGAACCTTTACATTCAGTTTTCATTCAGTAAAGTTATTTAATTCAGAAAAAAGTCAACCTGATTTCTTGTATCGCAATGTGACTGACTGATGATCTGATTATTAACTCATTAGACCTGCAGTTGTGAAACAATCATTTGATCAGTAAAAATGTTTTCAATGACTTGATAATCTGTTTGATCATTTATTTAGAAGAAATAGTGAAGAACCAATTGAACAACCAATTGAATGAACCAGATTTATGAATTGTGTGTGTATCGGGGAAACAGTTCAAATGAAATGATGAAAATCATGGCTGATCAATAAACTAGAGAAAAAAACACTTTGATCAAAGTATTAATCATTTTGACAATTAAAGGTTTCTCATTAACATTAAAATATGCAACATATTTATTTATATACATCCTGTTTAGTGTAGTGACCATGGTTACAGATTTTTATGTGTTACCTGCCATCAACGTGTAAAGCTGACAGACAGTATTGGTGTCTCACAGAGTGGGTGAGTGAATGGCCCTGATGTAAAATATGAACCTGTTTGAGTTCTCATTGACACATACACGCTCACTGCTGTGCACCAGGTTACACAAACAGAAAGTACTGCACACTTTCTGATTAACTGCCTGTAAACAGGAAGAGGTTGTGGATACTAAATATGAAGAAATGGCTCAAACTTAAAGCTCCTGCCATCTCCTCTATTTTTGTAAACCTTTTTTTAAGAATATAGCGAAGATAAAGAGAAATTCTGCAGAAGATAGACAGACATCACACAGTGCTCTGCCTTTCTGACTAAAGAAATAAATGTGTATGTACATAAGGTCTTTTCTCCTGCAATTACAACAAAATGTCTATCGCACTCCTGAAACAAAGATGTGTGTGTATATTCTAGAAATATCTGCCCATTAGTATAAGAAGATAGCAAACCGTAAAGGACAGGTAACTTCATATGGTGTCATAGTCCAGACCCTTTTGAACCGTAAGCTCACCTGCTAAAGGTAAGTAAGGCTGAAAAGTCTTTTCAATGTCAAATTTTTTGGCCTACCACTCATACAAAGCTGCTTGAGTTGTTGCAGAGTTTCATCCTGGTCCTGGTGCTTTTATATTTCTCTGAGTCTCTTCTCAGTAGCCGGGATGCTTGTAACTATGGCGTCTGCGTAGAGGTCAATCTCTCCTCCTCGTGAAGACGATCCCCGGAATGTGGAACCGGTGCTCTTGATAGAACATCTGCAGTGGTTATCTCCTGCCTGCTACATGTGAGATTGGGAATGAAAACCTCATGAGACTCATTCTCAAACGTTGAATACGTGGAGGAAGTTCATCCAGAGGTTCTTGAGCCGAACAGTGGAACATTGGTTTGTGATCGGTTTGAATGTGAAAGTCTTTTCCAATCAAAAACTCTGCAAGTCTCTCACAAGCCCACGTAGTGGCCAGAGCTCCTGTCTCCATCTGCGCATATCGTAGTTTGTGGTGCTCAGCCTCCAGATGCATAAGCTGCTGGCTCCTGTCTGCAGCCTGTTTTCTGCAGGAGGACGGCCCAGACCATGTGAAGACGAACCAGCAGAGAGCAGCGTGTCTGCTGAGGGATCATTCAGCGCTAGTCCTGGGGGTGTTGTCAAATCTTGTTTGATGCTCTCAAAAGCTTGCATTTGCTGTTGCCCCCAATTCCACATATTACTCTTTTTCAAAAGTTCGCTGAGTGGCCTTTTCTTTTGTGCTAAATAAGGCAAAAACTTTCCCAGGTGGTCTCCCATTCCTAGAAATTAATAGAAGTTTTTCAACGACTATTAACTAACGCGAATGTGTCAAACGTTGCTCGGCGACGAAAAACAGTTTATCCGATTGGCGGAGGCGGATATAGCCCGCCTATTCTACTTGTTTATTGGATGATGCGCTAATTTTACGTTTCATCAAATATTTGATTGGCTATCTATGATGACACTTCACAGGACAAAAAATACAACCTTTGCAGTCGGTTTTGTTGACATTCAATCCTAAACACAACGTTAGAAGTTTCCTTGGCCAGTCATCTTTTGAAATGGTACAATTATACAAAAAAGTCAACTTTGAAGTATATAATGCGTAAACTATGAGGCAAGAACGGGGATTTTCGGTTGAAATCCGTTGAGTGAAAACTTTTCTTTGGTGTCGCGGAACTGCTCCTAAGCTTTTACTAGCTAGCAGGATGCTAGCACAGTGGTAGACCGCACAATATCACTTTAGGCATTTGTACACACCTCGTAGCTTCAGAAATCATTGTTACTTGTATGCTTAATTTTTCAGACATCAACGGACCGGAAACCAGCTTCCTCTTCCGGCCATAAGAAAAAGGCAAGCTCCAAGATTGTACTTACAAAGGAGCAAAAAGAACAAATTAAAGAAGCTTTTGACATTTTGGACACAGATGGAAATGGAATTATAAGTGTTGAAGACGTACAGGTTAGCTTGGTTTACATTTCATTGACTAAAGGCAAATGAAACTTCCTGATTTGCTTAACTGTTTGTGCTTCACCACAGATGGCCCTGGAAGGTCTGGGCTTTGAACCAAAGGAAGAAGAAACAGTGAGGAGGGTTGCAGACATAGTTAAAGAGGCATCTGGAACCATAGATTTTGGGGACTTTCTCAGTATAGTAAACCTAAAAGTGGTAAGGGGACCAAAAGTTTGAAACCGGTGTTCAACAATAAAACTGTTTATTGTTTCACAGCGTCAAACAGGAGATTTAGTCTTGAAAGAGAATATGCCCCCCACTCAGGCTACCTAGTAAAAAAGAACTCAAACCAACAAACAGCAAAGTCCTGAAGACAATAGCGTCCAAACACGCTTCAGGTTTTGTTAGATGATTAGAATTAAGTCTGTTCAATGTGGCGTTTTCACCTCGAGAGGATCCAACGTAATCCAAGGAGCTTTATGAGCTATGAGAAACCTTTAAGGTCTGTAAATAGCTCTAAGGAAGGAAAAAAACCCATTGTTCCCATTAAAGCAGAGAACTCAAACACTATAACAATATAACCATTTGATATCAAAGCTGTTTGATCATTTACATTCAGTGAGCGACGGCATCATTGTTTTGGGTTCAAATGAAAATGAATGAAAGACAATAAAAAGACAACTGAACCCTTTTTCATGTACTTGATGTAGAATGAAAAGGAGTCTAAGGAACTGGTACTGAAGGCTTTCCGGCGGTTCGATGTTGACAGCAAAGGAAAAATCTCATTCAAAAATCTGAAGAGAGTTGCCAAGGAGTCGGGCTTAAACCTCACAGATGAACAGCTGCAGGTATTTTGGATCTGTGTGTGTGTGAGTGTGTGTGTGTGTGGGGGGGGGGGGTGTATTGTACCTCAAACAGCTTTAATGGTTTGTTTTAAGAGACCTGAGTAATTAAGAAGTCAGTTCTGTGCAGTTTATGTCCTGCTGTACGTTTTTGCTATTTTTAGATGTGAAGGAAAGGCAGCAGATTTTCCATCTACAGTGTGATTATTTGTTGTGTTAGTTTTAAGATGCTTTCCTCCATTAAATCCCACCACAGAGAAATTGAACTGCAAGAGTTCCTGAAGGAACACGAGGAACACATCTATTTTCCAGCTAAATTCAGTCACCATGAAACGAATAGACAGCATCTTCGTTATTGCTTTTATCAGTTAATCAAATGTCAAGCTCATTTCAGACAGCCTCTTTTCTCTTTATTAATCTCCCTGGTCTTTGTGACACCTCGTTTAATTCTTCCTGCTTCTCACCTTCAGTTTGTTTCTGCTTGTGGCCTTTTATTAACTCATCTGCTCTCTTTTATTTTGAGGAAATGATTGATGAGGCAGACCAAGATGGCCACGGTGAGGTCGGTGAGCAGGAGTTTCTACGGAGAATGAAGAAGGCCAACCTTTATTGAACGTGTCGCTTCTGCTTTTGTACGACTGCCAACTTATCCTATGGACAGTTTGCTCAGTAGCTTTTCTGGAAGGAAGACAGATGAGTTTTTTTGGTAAATAAATGTTTCCACGTACATCTTCATTGCAGAGTTCTTTTCTACAAGAGAAATTAATATATTGAATTATAACTGATGTGTATCCTGTAGTTTTTTAACCTTCATTTCAAAACTCAGCTTTAAAGTGACTGAAAAAGTGGTTTACAGGATGTTTTTATGGGAGAATGAGGCTGTCATCCACTCCTGGGGGGGGGGCAGATGTGGGTGTGTCTCCGTGTAACCCACCCCCCTTCTGGAGGCTGTAGAAAGCGGGTGTGCTGAGCCTTTGTGAGCAGCTGCTGCCGGGTT